TTTTTCTATATTTTTTTGGTTTTTGACCAGTCGGATCGGATGAATTGAAGAAAATCAACGGATAGAAATTAACAAGAGATGTGTGAGAAGTAAAAATGAGTGTATGGATAACACATCTCAATACCTAAATGACTCTAATCATGAGATACTAGAAATCGTAGCAATGGAAAGGTTGTTCCTTGGTTGTTTTTTGTGACCGACAGCTCACAGGTCTGAATCATATAAATAGCTTCCTTGTCAATGAAGAATAAGACTACAAACGATAGACGTTTTCCTCCTAATCATCGCAAAGTAAAAAGTCTTGTTTACTTGAAATCAGCCTCCAATAATATTGTAGCAAATAGTCCCATATGTCGATATATTTGTCAATATTATGCCATTGTATAAATGGAGGAGAAGATGGATTGAAAAAGGGGTAAAAACCATTTTATGGAGAATAAAACCTCGATAGCAACCTTTCACCCTGGTGTTGTTGGGGATGGGGCAGTGGTGCAAGGTTCCTTGGTGGCTCACTCTCCATCCTTCTTTTTACTCTTTTTCAATTTTAATTTTATTATTAAATCGAATTTTAAGTTTTTCTAATTTCATTTTATTAAATAATGAATATTTTATTAAATATTTTTAACTGGAAACTAACAGAAGTGAGTAAGATTGCTCAGCCCCTGCATATCGTATCGATGATTTGATACAGATCTTAGAACTTTTTCCTTCATATGTTTACCAATATGAATGTAGCACAAACCATTAAATGGAAAACATTATCGCCCGTTACTACATATCGTTCATGCAATTTGCATTTAGAGTGTCTTCAAATCTAAATAAAGACTTATGTTACTAAATCAAATGATCATATCCAAATACATTGATATGGATCATGTAAGAGAAATAATTTTTCCCTCCAAATTCGAGAATTTGTCTGCAAGTAAATAAAAAACACAAAAATGTTGGTCAAATTTTCCAGTGAGTTCGCCAACGACACCCATTCTTTTCCTTCTCTCTCTTCCTCATCTTATCCTTGAGAAGAATAGGAATCACCATACTTTACCGGCTTTGGTGTCAATGTTGACACCGAACATGGCTCCACACCATCCTCCCGTCAACCTACTTCACATCGGCCTCTCACCCAAGCCCATATATGAAAACACTGCTTTTAATTGGTTTAATTGTGGCCACCGCACCTAAATTTTCTTATTATTTTCTTAATTAGAGCAACTCCAATGTAGGAGCCATTCCCCCAAGCTATTCACTATTTAATCCACCTAGTGAACAGTAACTGCCCTTAATGAATAGTGCATTCCCCTGACAATTGTCTTTTGCATCTCCACCCCTGCACTAAATAGCCCTGACAATTGGCAATAAAATATTAGTATTTTTTTATTTATAAAATAATACATAATAATTTTATTTGTAATTTCGGATAAGATTTTTAATCGTTCTCGTTGCGGCACGTGTCATTATCCGAAAAGCCAATACCAATAAAATTTTTGTATTTTTGTATTTATAAAATAATTCAAAAGAATTTTATTTGTTATTTTGGATAAGATTTTTAATCGTTTTCGTTGCGCCACGTGTCATTATCCGCAAGACAATTATTTTTGTATTTATAAAATAATTCAAAAGAATTTTATTTGTTATTTTGGATAAGATTTTTAATCGTTTTCGTTGCGCCACGTGTCATTATCCGCAAGACAATTATTGGTGATGGATTTCCGATAAGATTTTTAATCGTTGTGTGAAGGCACGTGTCATTATCTGAAAAGACAATTATTGGTGATGAATTTCTGATAAGATTTTTAACCAATCACGCCGTGCCACGTGTCACAATTCGATTACAATCTTTGAGGATAGATTTCCACCAGATTTTTAACGAATGACGGCATGCCACGTGGCATTATCTACAACCTAATCCTTTCTGAATCCTCCATATAATCCACCATCCATCCTCATTAATCTCACACCAATTTTCTCAAGATCTCTATCATTATTCATAGTTTATGCTTCATTCTTCGCCAAAATCCCTATCATTATTCATAGTTTTTGCTTCATTCTTCACCAAAATCCCTATCATTATTCATAGTTTCTGCTTCCTTCTTACAATGTCTTCTTCTTCTTCTTCAAAGATGATGTGGGAAATCGATCAAGAAGAGGAAGAATTGTTTAACCAATCAGAAAGAATGTTCAATGTTGGGGATTGGGCCTAAAATGAGATGGAAGAGGATGACGAGCATAGACGGAGAGATGACAAATCAAGAATGGCAGGAGCCTCACAATCCCGTTGAGTCGTCCAAGCTGTGGCTCATATCTGCAGGCCCAACCGTGCTGTAAACATTGATAGAAACAGGCAACGACAAGGTCAGGAGCTCTTGGACGATTATTTTGTCCGTAACAGTGCATTCCCTGATACATACTTCCGACAAGGTCAGATGCTTGCATATGGAGCAGCTGCAAACCAAGTGGACGAGATAACGAGGATGGGAAAATCAACCATTCTTGAGTCCTTGATGAGGTTTTGTTCCGCAATCGAATCTATTTACACCGCAGAGTACCTCCGGAGACCTACTCATATGGACTTGCAAAGGCTTCTGAAGAAAAGTGAGATGCGAGGTTTTCCAGGGATGATTGGAAGCATTGATTGTATGCACTGGACTTGGAAAAACTGTCCAAGTGCATGGCAAGGCCCTTATGAGGACAGAAAAGGATCAAAATGTATCATTTTAGAGGCGATATCATCTTTTGATACAGGGATTTGGCACGCCTTTTTCGGGGTTCTGGGAGCTCAAAATGACCTCCACATCCTTGCCCAAACCCCAGTGTTCAACGATGTCCTGCAAGGAAAGACACCAAAAGTCACGTATGAGGTCAACAGACGTATGTACGACGGGCCATACTACCAAGCTGATGACATTTACCCAAGGTGGTCAACATTTGTCAAAACAGTGCCACATCTGTGAAGTGCAAAGGAAAAACACTTTGCAAGATGTCATGAGGGGTGCAGGAAATATGTGGAGCGTTGTTTCGGTATCCCGACCACACCCAGGTTAGAGCAGAAAAACTGTTTCTAGGTTAAAACCCATAAGAGTTAGAGTAGAAAAACTGTTTCTAGGTTAAAACCTAAATTTTATGAGTTAAAACCAAGGGTTGAAGATTGTCACATCCCGGGTTCGATTCCGTCGTAGCACGATATTGTCCGTTTTGGGTCCCGACCACGCCCTCACATTTTTGTTTCTGGGAACCCGAAGCTAGTGAGCTTCCAAAAGGCCTCGTGCTAGGTAGAGATGGAAATATACATATAAAGCTTATATGATCCACTCCCTTAGACGATGTGGGATGTTACAAAGATGGTCTAAAGGAAGGAAAATAGTCTTTGTGACCGACAACCCACGGGTTTGAGTCGTAGAAATAGTCTCTTTGTCAATGAAGAGTAAAGTTGCGAACGATAGACATTTTTCTCCTAATCATCGCAAAGCAAGGCTTGAAGTCGTCCCCCAATAAAATCGTAACAAGTAGTCTCATATGTCGATATATTTGTCAATATTATGCCATTGTATAAATGGAGAAGGAGGTGGATTGAAAAAGCGGTAACAACCATTTTTATGGAGAATAAAACCTCGATAGCAACCTTTCACCCTGGTGTTGTTGGGGATGGGGCAGTGGTGCATGGTTCCCTGGTGGCTCACTCTCCATCCTTCTTTTTACTCTTTTCCAATTTTAATTTTATTATTAAATCGAATTTTAAGTTTTTCTAATTTCATTTTATGAAATAATGAATATTTTTTAAATATTTTTAACTGGAAACTAACAGAAGTGAGTAAGATTGCTCAGCCCCTGCATATAGTATCGATGATTTGATACAGATCTTAGAACTTTTTCCTTCATATGTTTACCAATATTAATGTAGTATAAACCATTAAATGGAAAACATTATCGCCTGTTACTATACATCGTTCATGCAATTTGTGTTTAGAGTGTCTTCAAACCAAGTAAAGACTTATGTTACTAAACCAAACGACCATGTCCGAATACATTGATATAGATCATGTAAGAGAAATAATTTTTGCCTCCAAATTCGAGAATTTGTCCACAAGTAAATAAAAAAAACAAAAATATTAGTCATATTTTTCAGTGAGTTCGCCAACAACACCCATTCTTTTCCTTCTCTCTCTTCCTCGTCTTATCCTTGAGAAGAATAGGAATGACCATACTTTACCGGCTTTGGTGTCAATGTTGACACTGAACATGGCTCCGCACTATCCTCCCGTCAACCCTACTTCACATCGGCCTCTCATCCAAGTTCGTAATAGATAAATATGAAAGGGAAGCGTTATTGGCACTTGCATTTCAAAAATCTCATTTCACACTCCTCATAAGTGTATTTTTTTTAAAAAATATAAAAAGTTTAGAATGTAAAATGTGAATTTTAAAATACCAATAACAATTCCCAATTAAAAATAAAAAAAACGAACATCAATGGTCGCCTGAGCTTCGAATGCATTCACCCAAAAAAATGGAGAGGTGCCCTAGTGGAAACAAACCTTCCCCTCTGATTTCCCCGATGGTGGCTATGGCCATCAGATTTTAATTTTTCTAAATTTTTTTTTTTATTTAATGACTAAGTTGTTCGATAATTAACTCCACTTATAATGCACATTAACCTCATTTATCTAACTACCTATTTAGTAAATCACTGGTTTAAATTTATATTAACAGTACACAACAAATTAATAAAGTTTAAGCCCATATATTTAAGTCATATCCTGAGAAATTCTTCAGTATGCTGAAAACATATCGTGATACATTAAGTGTCATAATATAATTAATTAATTTTTTTTAAATATCTAATCATTTATTTTTTAACATTTGATATTTCAAACCGTCTTCTAATCATACTAAAAGATATTTTATATATCAAACCGTCTTTTTGCCATGCTGAAAAATCTGTCCAATCTATATATGAGAAGGCTAGAAGTAGGTATAAATGAAGGTATGGTTGGTCCAATTAATTTATTTGATGAGTTGGCAATAATACTTGGGCGGTTTATGAATAAGACTGGATCGCATCCACAGGAGAGACCAGGTAGAGAGAGAGAGAGAGAGAGAGAGAGAGAGAGAGAGAGAGACCCAGGCAAAATCCTATATCTCGTGGTTTCGTGCCAAACGTAAGAGAGAGAGAGACCCAGGCAAAATCCTATATCTTGTAGTTTTGTGCCAAACGTAAGAGAAGGGAAAGGCACAGTTCACCGGTAACCTTCCACCAAAGACATTGGAAATTGGAAGTAGAAGGAAAGTGACCAACAAACCTGTTCGATTTTATTATTAAGATATCGTCGGATTCTGCCATCTGGGTTCCTCAAAGGTTCCGCAAAGGTTTCTGCTTTTCTGTCATCGGAAACCCCAAAAAGTCAAAGGTCGAATCTTTGATCATGTTTGGAGCTTGTTTGTTGTTCGTGTGAGTTCATGGCTGATCAATGAGGTTAGTAAAACAAAACCCAGTTCCTCTTTTTCTTTGTTTCGTAATGTTGATTATGCAAATGATTAGTTTCTGGTTTGTGTGATTAAGGTTTGATCTTGGTTTGTTTGATTAAGGTTTTGGTCTTGTTTATGTGGGAATTTGTTTGTTGTTCGTGTTTTTTATTTGGGTTAATTTATAATTTGGTGGTTGTATTTTTTTTTTCAATGTGTTTTTCCTCTTGGTGCCCATCTCCATCTGATTTTTTGTTTGTCTATTTTTCTGTTGCTGGTGGATTTTCGTACCTTAAAGTTTGTAATTTTCTGTTTTTTTGGGTGTATTAGATTGGAATATTATTTATTTCTTTTGAAGAGACAACAATTGGAAGGGACCAGAAAATGGTGATTTGGCGATAACATGTCGTTTTATTTTACATAACTCGGTACTTTGTCTGAAGGACCAGAGCTGCTTTCTTGCCCCTCAAAATTTCCACTTTAGTATTTAAAATATGAATATGCAAATTTATAAAAATATCGATGGAGATATCGATATAGGTTGCCTTCAAAGGAAATTATAGAAATTTGCAATGGGGCGGGTATATCTACTCATCCAAATTTAGAGAAAAATTTCTCAAAAAAAAAAAAAAAATTCAAAAGTTTGAAATTTGCAATGGTTCCGACAAAATTTCTATAGTGAAAGGTGAATATCATCGATATTAATTGATTTCCCTATATCTCACCGATATAGGGTGAAGTTTGCATTTCAAACCCCCTCCATGTCGATTGTTGATCTGTTTGGATATTTCGACAAAAATATTGACAATTTCGTAAATATTTTAAACACTGCTTTTAATTGGATTTGGTCTTTACTAGTTGTAGTAGTTGATCATATATGTCGCAAATGTAGGCGTATTTCATTGGCTAGAGCGGATTTGCTCCCCCTCTTCACCTGAGTTTGAATCCCCCTTCCCGCAGTGTGGATTAGTTCAAAGTAAAATATCGCATGTATCAAATAGATGTACATGTCCCATGTGTTGGAGATATGATCAAATGTGATGTATGGCTATCCATATTATTGATTTCTCCTTATATTTTGGGTCATGAATTTTAAAGCTAAAGAACAGAATGTTCTTGGGTTACTTCTTGTTCCAAAATTTAAAGCCTCGGCTAAAAAGAATCTGAAGCTTGAAGCTTCTAATTGGATTAGATTTTTGGATTTGTTGGTAGATTTTCTGTTTTCTTTTCTACTTATTCTTCACTTTTCTATGTTTTGTCGGAAGGACTTCACTTACAACCAGACTGTGTTCCTCATAGAAACCCTGTTATCAGTCTGTTCCCGTGCCAGTGGTTGATTAGCTCTTGTTACTTTCCGTCATTAAAGTCTGCAAAAACTCTACGTGAATCATATTATCAAGTAGTTCCATGTATGATATTCTTGAATAACTATGTTTTGCCCCTTGATTTGATGGCAATTGATGATGTAAATTGTCTTACTATTTGCGATTATCTTCATAGCATATAAAATATATTCTGCGATTATCTCGAGAGTTCTTGTTGAATTCAACATTTGCTTTGTTTCCGTGATGATCAGAGATCTATTGCAAATGTCAGTTGCACAAGTCGAGAACATGGCATCTTTGAACACAGACCTTTTCTACGATATATTGAAGCGTCTTGATGGAGCAACTTTGGCTAGTGCAGCATGCGCCTGTGCAGCATTCTGTTCCATCTCAAAGGAAGAAAGATTGTGGGAAAATGTGTGCTCGTCTATGTGGCCTTCCACTAATCGGGAAGACGTCAAGAGTTTGATACTATCCGTTGGTGGATTCCGAAAGTTCTATGCAGATTGTTTTCCCCTTATTGTAAACAAGGAAGTTTCCGAGTATCAATGGAATGACTACCTCGAGTATCCTGAAGAATGGACTGAGGCTGAATACTATGGTGATGTGGATGAATTCGAAAGTATTTCACCATCGGATTTTGTTTCTCTCGTGGACATTAGGTACAAGGACAAAATAATCTGCTCAAAAGTTCTTTGGGGCATTCCGAATGCAAATGGCTTCAATGGTTGGTTTTACAACTGCCCTTTTCGGATCGATCTTCTTACTTATGCAGATAGAGATGATGACAACAATGGTGAAGTTTTCCTCTCTGCTGCGAACGGTCTACCACCGATCACATCTATGGAGACAGAAAGGAAGGATGGGAAGTTATGGAGGGGGCTGCGAGATGGACTCCGGCTTAGTTGGATTGTCGTAAATAGAAAAATAAAGCAAGCTGCTAATCTTGCGAGCTGGTGCCCTCTCGGCGGTCAAAGACATTGGCCAACGGACAAGGATTTCGTGATTCGCTTTGGATCCATTCTTCCGGCCAGAGACATCCTTCCATGTCAAGTAGTAGAATGCATCCTCAGTATGAAGTTCAGAGTGATTTGCACCGAAGGCGAAGGTGTTCAGACAACTCTCAAGTTAACGGAACTAAGCATGCAGTTGGAAGACATGGAAGGCTCCCACGTCAACGGAAGAAACAGTTTGCTTATTCTCAAGGAAGCGCTGAGCTGCCGGCGGAGCAAAAACTACAGCGAAGTTCTCGAGTCGTGTCACTTGTACTCGAAAGTACAGAACGAGCTGAAAGAGGAGAAGATGAGGAACGAGAGTCGGTTAGATAGGCTTTGTATCTTGAGCGGCATTGCCGCGTTCATGTCCTTCTGTTACTATGTTTTGTGACATGTTTAACTGAAACTGCTCTAACAAAACATTCCACGTTCGTACTCTTCCAGTGAACAATTTTGTTTCGATAAATCAAAGAAAAACTAATGAAAAGGGTTTGAAAAAATTTGAGTTTTAATGATAAGGACAAAATAAAGGGGAAAGTGAATAGTATCAGGTTTGACTTTTTAGTGTAAAATTGTGGTTTTTCGTTAAAGTGAATAGTACTATAGGTTTTTCGTTAAAACTCCCATAAATCAAAGGTTTTTGTTCTTATAATTGTTCCTATACATTTTAGAGCTATGAACCTCGTGATTTTCGTCCACATCGCGTGGCAAGGAAATAAGCATAAATAGAATTGGTTATAATAATTGAAAAGTAAATTGAATGAACGCTAACAAAATAATATAGGACACTGAATTTTGATTTATGTACGGCTTATTTTTTATTTGACTGTTTTTAAGTTTTGTTTTTTTAACTAAAATATCGTAACTAAGTTGATTAAAGCAATATACTCTCTGTTTTGCTTGAGTTTAAATATTTTTTTCATAATTTAAATGAATTCATTGTTGATTATTGCTCGCATAACTTCGTAGCACTAAAAAATGGCATTGTTCCTATTTTCTAGAAGAAAAATGAATGTGATTTTTGTGACAGCCCGTCCCTAATTTTACGATTTTATGAATTTTAAAGATATGATTTTACGAAAATGCCCTTAGAGGTGAGGGTCTTGACTTTCGTTGATCAACATATAGCGAGGTGTATGAATTAATCTATTAACGTTTTCTTGAAGTATTTTTGGTTTGGTCACTATTTATATATATTTTTCTAAAGTATTTATTTTATTTATCATTTTAGTGATTTGGAAAGAAAAAAAAAAGGATTGAAGAAGAGAAAAACGGGAGAAGGAAGTCAGGAGGGCCATTGCCCAACCAGAAAGAAGAAAGAGAGAGGATGGACGAGTGGGAAGGAGGTCAGGAGGAACAAGAAGGGAAGGGGACGAATCAGAAGAGGAGAGAGGAAGAAGAGAAAATGAGGGAAAGGGAACCATGTTATCTTAACCCGCGTGACCCGACCTAGTATTCAAAATCCCGACGACGATTCTAGCGTCCCCCCGGCGAACTGGGCATTGCCACCATCACCAAATGACTTCACGCCGTCCCAGCTTCCATTTCCACCCAAGCTTGACAGCGGTGGGTCATCATTTCACGGCGAATCAACGCCGTCTTCTTCGGCGAGTCCGAGGTCACCATGGCGTTTTCTGCCGTTTCTGAAGCACCACCACTATCAGTGGACTCCTTGTGAACCCATAAACATGTCCCAAACTTTGGTTGGGATGTTAAAGCTCAGAAATTGTTGAATCGAAAAGAATCCAATTCGAGGGTTTTCTGGCGGGTTTGATGAAATTGGGGCCTTTCCAGGCCAAATTGGCCTTGGCCGCAGGCGCCGATCGTTGGTAATGCCTTGATGTTTATGCTAGGAAGTTGTAGCGCGGACTCCAGATGAGTGGATCTTTCCTTGCTTATCATATTTTCATGATTTATAATTCTATAAATGCTTTTAAATAAAACTGAGAAATTTATGCCATGACATATATATATATTTATATGTTATAAAATACTATGAGATGGTTGAGTTTAGATTTCATCGTGATATATCCATATGCGTATTACTATAAATGTTTATTGCGAACTACAAATGGCTTGATCCTTGTTTAGGGTACGTAGACAGTCTAGCGAGACGTTAGATGCAGCCATATAAGAAATGAGATTATATAATTGAGACCATAGCCTTGTTTAAGGAATTGAGCAATGTGAGGGATATTGGTGAAAAATGTGAGTTTTAACTTTATGTTTTGATGATTGATAGTTAGTACACTACATTATATAATTGGAAATACTATGAAATGTTTTTATTTTAGATTTTCATCATGGCATATCCATACGTATATTCCTTGCTCAAAATTATTGTGAACGCTCTGAAGTGCAAAGGTGAACGCATGACATATAGGTAAGTTCAGGTAAGTTTAGGTAAGTTCAAGTAAGTATACGATATTAGTTGAACTGATGAGATATGTGATGAGATATGAATATGTCGTATAGGTCATTAGAGGTGACTCCGACTTATATGCTAGCCATGATTGATGTGATATGTAATGAGATATGAATATGTCGTATAGGTCATTAGAGGTGACTCCGACTTATATGCTAGCCATGATTGATGAGATATGTGATGAGATATGAATATGTTGTATAGGTTACTAGAAGTGACTCCGACTTATATGCTAGTCATGATTGATGAGATATGTGATGAGATATGAATATGTCGTATAGGTCATTAGAAGTGACTCCGATATATGCTAGCCATGATTGATGAGATATGTAATGAGATGAATATGTCGTATAGGTCACTAGAGGTGACTTCGACTTATATGCTAGCCATGATTGATGAGATATGTAATGAGATATGAATATGTCGTATATGTCACTAGAAGTGACTCTGACTTATATGCTAGCCATGATTGATGAGATATGTGATGAGATATGAATATGTCGTATAGGTCACTAGAGGTGACTCCGACTTATATGCTAGCCATGATTGATGAGATATCAATATGTTGTATAGGTCACTATAGGTGACTCCGACTTGCATGCTAGTCATGATTGATAAGATATGAATATGTCGTATAGGTCACTAGAGGTGACTCCGACTTAGATGCTAGCCTATATGTGATGAAATGCTAGCATATATATAATGAATATACGTGATGAGCTAGTATATGTGGTGAATACTTGATAAGCTAGCAGACGTGATGAATATGCGATAAGTTAGCATATGATTATAAATATGTGAAGCATGACTTGAATTGATATATATATATATATATATATAGTATATTTTTATATCCTGATTCTAGAAATTATACAGGCGTTGTAGTGATGGGTTATAGAAATTTATATGGTTTCTATTAAAATTTTATCTACTGGGCCACTCACCTTTGTCTTGTCTTCACCCTCTAGGTATTCTTAGCTGAGCTTTCTTTTCGTCGAGGAATCGTGGCGATTCTTAGTATTGGAGATTATTTCGAGGGTACGATTCTTAATTCACTATTTTGTACTTACTTATGCTCTAACGTCACGTGTGAAGTGGGTTCATTCCCGCTCATCAGTGCACTCTAGTATTTAGGCACTCTTAGGTTTAAATTTATTCACAATATTTCCACATCATCACACTTTATGGCTTTGTCACCTTCCAGGTGTCGGCTAGCACAGCTCGATTCGGAGTTCTAGTGGACCTTCCGGGTTGGGGTGTGTCAATTTTGCAAGAAAATCAAACCCAATTTGGGCTTGTTCCGTTTGTGGGGCAAATTTTCAATTTTTTGGGTTTTTTTTTTTTTTTTTTTTTTTTTTTTTTTTTTTTCAGTTTAATCGGTTAGTTTTCAATTTAAATATTAATTAATTAATTAATAATTGAGGTGCAAAGTTACACATGTTGTGATGGAAGCTCCATCTCCTCAAGAAATTTTTAATTGTGACGGGAACACAAGTGATACACCATGTGTTTTAATAGGAATGATAAGAAATTTTATTTTTTAAGTTATTAACTTTTTAGCACACATATCCCACTATTTATTTAGTGATACATGATGTACCACCCCATGTACCGGTCACACTGAAAAATCTAACCATCTCCTCCACCACCATGGCTGGACTGGTCATAAAATTTTTGTGTTCTTTTATTCCCCTTATTAGCGCCACAGTCATGTCATGTCTCATTTCCTAAGTTTTAGGATGTGAAAATAATTGTATTTATTGTGATACAATTTTAAACGGATAATGCTAGGGAAATTAAAATTGTAAACCAAATTTACAAATTAGATAATGTATCACCAATTAGTAAATAAACAAGCTAATCAACGCTTAAGTAATAATCCAATCATTAACAACCACATCATTTGGTTTACAAAATTTGGTTTAAAAATTTGGTTTAAAAATTTGGTCTCCCAAGCATTAACCATTTCAAACAAACTCTGCGTAATTTTAAATCTCTACCGTGACTTTGGTTAAATTACACAATAGTCTCATTATTGTAACTACTGGTAAACTTATTTCATATAAGCTAAATTTAAAACCTCACACTCACAAATGAAAAAACTGAACTTATTTTACCCCCTTAATCTTCGGTACCCACTCATCTTTAATTATAGTTATCTAATTGAATAATTAAAAATAAAATGAATAAGATTAAGGCAAATCGCCTTCACTCTCGGGGTTATGTACCTACCTCTTGGTGTCCAATACCCAATGATGGGAGAAGGAGTGGGAGACGAAGAGAGAGAAGATGGTTGCTTAGCTATAAACGATGTCCGTTTTCTTTTACAAATCTTTATGCGGGTGCACCTTCAAAACATGAGACTAAAGACCTTTCTTGAGGCGCTTTAAGAAAAGACCGTGTAAGAGAGAAAAAATATGTTTATTATTTCACATGAAATAATAACACTAAATATTTCTAAGTGGCGAATTTGTGTAATTGTAATCAAATTCTTGTTTTTATTTTTAAAAAGGGAATGTAAAGTGCCATAAATTAATTATGCAAACCTACATTCTTTAGGTGGTTAAGCAAAAAAAAAAAAAAAAGGCTGGATGATTTAGGGCTTGTTTTGTATTTTTAATTCAATTTTTTAATTTTGAAACTAATAAGTAAGGAGTATTTTAGCTACATTCATCGTTTTTGAAATTATAAATTGTAATCAAGTTAAATACCAAACAATACCTTAATTTATTTGGGTTGATCCCAAATTTCAGAAATGTGGGGGTATTAGAGCAAATCAACTATTTTGTCAATCTCACTCAGATCATTCAATGCCATCTCTATCTTTTGTTTTCAGCCTTGTTCTTATCTACTATTTATTTTTAATTATTATTTCAATCAAAATGTCATATTATTTCATTTTAATTTGCGAGTGTCCTAATTTTTCATCATTGCCCTATTTGTCAATTTAAGAAAACAGACAGGTCCATTGACTATTATTGATAAAATAGAAAGGTCCTTTGATAAAATCACATGAACGAAAAGTCGCCATTCGTGTTGAATCGTGGTCACCACACCTAAATTTTCTTATTATTTCCTTAATTATGAAGAATTGACAACGTGATGCGATTTAGACACACAACGACTCTTATTAATTGAACTTTGATTTAGACACATAATGACTTATTAATTGGTTTATACAAAGGAAAATATTAATTTTACAAACGATATTCTATACTAATCTACACTATAATAATAACAACAAAATCTTATTTCATTAAGTGGTGTCGTGTTTGTATGGTTCCTATAACGCTAATGCGCTCGGTTTTGCACCAAGTCTTTTAGCTTTAAGTATTTTATGTTTTTTCTTAAAATCTCTTTCCAAGTCTTCCCTAGTCTTCTCTGCCCCTTTTACCCTAAGTCTGTGCAATACACCAAGACCTACTCCAACCCTTGGAGTAAAACTCAAATTTTAAGTTTTAAATTTACTTCAACTTGATCTAACCCTTGGGCCAATTATGAGTTTTAACCCAAAACTCATTTTGGGGGCAAACTTAGAGCAAAATTCCCTCTAAGTTAGTGGTCTGGCTCACCATATATGCGTATTTCTTTTAGTTTTATATTTATAAATTCATTGAATTCAACAGTTAAAATCTAATATGAACAAATCCAACGGTAAAAAAAGAAGAAGATCTAACGGTCCAAATTTGAATCCAACGACTAAATTAATTAAAAAAAAATCTTTCATGTGTTTCATATTTTTTTCATAGTGTTCCACGAGTTTCATGGTGTCGATATAGTGATTTTTTAATATTTATCGGAATCTAAATAGTTTTAGGTTAAAATGTTCATAAAATTAAATTAGGATAGCCAACTTTATTTTTTTTAAGTTACTTTAAGGAAAAAAAATTATCCTAAATTCATTATTTAGTAATCATGGAATAAAAATTTAACTCATAAGAATTAGAGCAGAAAAACTGTTTCTGGGTTAAAACCTAAATTTTATGAGTTAAAACAAAGGGTTGAAGATGGTCTAAAGGAAGGAAAATACTATAAACCCAAAACGCAATTAGTTGAAGAAGAGCCCCAACTTGATTTTAGTAGATTGCAAATTAACGATTAAATTTTAGGCTTAAATATCAAAGTGGTCCATGTGTTATAGTCATATGGCCAATCTAGTCCCATTGTTTTCGATTTGGTTAATTTAGTCTTCGTATTTGTCTCTGTTAGCCAATTAAGGACATTTCATTCAATTTCTTTTTAAAAATTCATAAGAAAATTCATATGAGAAATAATTACCCTTCCTCGTTAAATCAATGAGAATAATACATATAAGAAATAAAACTTCCAATTTAAAAAATGATTAAGGTTGTGACATAGAAAAGAGAGGGGGTAATCTTAGGGAGGATGTCGGAGAGTTGGAAGGAGAAAAACTTTTCTTTTAAGTTTTAATTTTATTTAATTTTAAATATTTTAAATCAAATAGATTATAATTTTATAAATAATAATTTATAATTTTTTTTTACCTATGAAAATGTCCTTAATTGGCTAACGGAGATGAATACAAGGATCAAATTGGTCAAATTGAAAACACAGAGACTAAATTGACCCAATGACTAAAACACATGGATCATTTTAACATTTAAGCCTAAATTTTATGCATATGAGAGTACAGAGACAAAATGAATTATTTTTGCTCACCACTTTCAAGTGATATAATGCTCATCATTTATCCCTATTGGATAAATTTAAATTTCGAGATTTATGTACTATATTGATACAATCTCAAAATTTAAAATAAATAAAATAATAAACATTACTACATTTGAAGATGATGAGTAAAAATGTATTTGAAACAAAATTGAAATTGTGAGGATTATTGCAAGTACAAATAACGTGTGTTGTCCTAAATTTAATTATTTTAAGCTACAGAATCGAATAAAAATTTAATTTACCCACCATTACCAAGACTCTGAACTCTGAAACCAATTAATTAAAGAAAAGCGTGAATGTTTTCAAATTCTTGAGTCGAGCATTTCTGCTTCTTACTTGTCAACCCATCTCTCTCTCTCTCTCTCTCTCTCTCTCCCTCCCTCTCCCTCTCTGAACCAACTGGTAAAAAACCACCGTCCCAACGCTTTAATCCTCCCATTTTTCTGCAGTAAACACAAACAAACAACCCCGATGTGATATTTGGAAGAAAACCCAATTCGAAAAATGTCTTCTTTGAGCCACAAATGCTTACTTTCTCTCTCAGACCCCACTTCTTCCTTTCTCTCTCTAGAAGTCTAAAGCGCCCATCTTTTTAAAATCCCTTTTGTTTTTGGACCATGTCTCCAACCCCCACCACGCCCACGAACTCTCAATGCTTCGTTCTTCACACAAATGGCGAATAATAATCCCGCGTCTCCACATCAAACAGAGGAAAGCACAATGACCCACTTGGAGTTCTTCAAGAAACTCAAACGCTCCAACCCTCTTGAACCTTCTCTGGGGATTCTTGGGTTCTTCTTGGTCGCTCTTCTCTTCGTTAGCTGCTTCTCCTACTTGGATTACCGTACAGTTTACAGTCGGATTCTGGGGTTGCCGTCAAAAGGGAATGGACTGCTGGGATTTCTTGAGGAAGGTGGTAACGGCTGTGACGTGTTTGATGGGAATTGGGTTTGGGATGAGAGCTATCCGTTGTACGAGTCTCAGAATTGTAGCCTTTTAGATGAAGGGTTTAGATGTTCTGAGAATGGCCGGCCTGATAATTTCTACACCAAGTGGCGTTGGCAGCCCAAAGGTTGCACCTTGCCCAGGTACTAGTACTACTTTACCATTCTGTTTCTTTCTTACTTCGTATCCATTTTACGGAAATTTGAGTAGTTTTGAATATCGCATTGTAAAAAAATAAAGAAAGAAAAATGATTATCATGTTCGTATTGGTTTGGTGTTGTTTAGATACGGGTTCAGTGCTAGTAGAGAAGTAAGCTTCCTGAATTTATCAGCAGCCTAATTGAAATTTAGTTGATTGATTAGGTGAACGGATAAAGTTTTATCGGTTACTTGAATTTAATTTATTCATTTGTAGTGTAATGAACAGATATAATTTTCCTTCTTTAATTTGCTTTTTGTATTGTTAATTTTGGAATATTGGGTTGGTTCCTTTTTTTGTTAATATTTTGTTAACCGAGCGATATTGTAATTAATCTTATCCAAACTACGGGGAGATTATTCGAACTTCGGTTGGTTCCATTCTTAATGATGTCCTTGTTATTTTCTGCGTGAATGATTTTAAGTTTTTGTTGGGGTTGGTGGGTGTACTTTTTTGGTGGATTAGCTGCTCACCCGTGACCCTTTATTCCCTTTTGGCTTTATCAATTCTTTCAGTGTTTGTATATTTTTAGTTCAAACTGCTCGAGTAGAGAGAAAGTTCTCTGTTAGCCCTGTTGTTTTGGTTGTTTTGTCCTTTGGTTTCATCATATGCTTTTTCAATCTGGAGGTTTTGTTTTCGTCTGATTACAAGTTGAGTGAGTCCGAAAAGATAACGTTAAGACTATATTAGACAATTTCGTCTATAAATCATGAATTTTCATCATAATTACAACGATAATTGGTAGTGGTACATTTGAGTGATCTTTAGTACTTATGATGATAATGATGATGGTACACCGAATACTCTCTAGTTGAGTACATTTGAGTGATCTTTAGTAGCTAGATTGGACAAGATCTTATGTTCGGTTTATCTCTTGTCTTAAGAACAGATTTGATGCAGGGAAGATGTTGGAGAAGCTTCGGAACCGGCGTGTTGTATTTGTTGGTGACTCAATTGGAAGGAACCAATGGGAGTCTCTTCTCTGTATGCTCTCCTCTGCAGTACCTAACAAGACTTCAATCTATGAGGTGAATGGGAGTCCAATCACAAAGCATTCGGGGTTCTTGGTATTCAAGTTTGAGGACTTCAACTGCACTGTGGAATACTACAGAGCACCATTTCTAGTCTTTCAGGGCCACCCTCCTGCTGGTGCTCCAGAAAACGTGAAGATAACCTTAAGGGTGGATCAACTGGAAAGGACTTCCAGGCAGTGGAGAGATGCAGATGTGCTGATTCTCAACGCGGGGCATTGGTGGAGTTATGAGAAGACCATACGAGAGTAAATCCTGATAACTTTCTCTTACAACTTTTTTGTTAGTTTTCATAACATTTCTTGTTACACAAACTTTGAAACTCTAAGAGGTGGAAAGTTTACAACGAATTTGTGATTTAAACTTTTAATTATTTGGTTGAATAAGGGTTCATAATTCTCATGGAGAAAAGTTTGTGCCTATGATTTATCGGATTATGTCTGATCTTTGGAATTTCATGACTTGTCAGTGGTTGCTACTTCCAAGAAGGAGAGGAGGTGAAGATGAATATGACTGTCGAAACAGCATTTCGTAGATCGTTAGATACTGTGATTGATTGGATTGGCAATGAAGTGAACATGAGCAAGTCTTATGTCCTCTTTCGAACTTATGCTCCCGTGCATTTCAGGTTTGCTCCATCATTTTTGTTGGCAGTCTCATTGATATATCATTTTTTGCCTTCAGTTTGGCTTTGCACTTTAGAGGTTCTTTGTGTTTTTTCATTTGCTTGTATAGGCTTTAGCATCAGAACATAACCAATACCGTATACGTTTGCACATTTTCATTTCATGTGTTCAGGGAAAATGTTGCTTTTGGTTTTTACCGCATATGTATAACTTAACACTAATCAATAGGTTGTGGATGTAACAGCGGCGGTGATTGGAATACGGGTGGTGGTTGTCAGTTGGAGAACCTACCTGGATTAAGTTTGTTGTTCAATTCATCCGAAAGTGTTTACAAGACGATCTTTGATCTCATATCAGAGCGTTCAAATGAGTCACATGTTAGGAAACTGGATTTGCTCAATGTGACGAACATGTCTCTGTGGAGAAAAGATGGTCATGCCTCTCTATACTATCTAGGGCCTGAGACTGGACCAGCCTCCGTCCACCATCAAGACTGCAGCCACTGGTGCCTCCCAGGTGTGCCTGATTCATGGAACGAGCTTCTGTATGCGCTCTTCCTTAAACGGGAATCCATTCGCGCATGAAACTTTCTCAGCCAAATCTTTGTAGTCTACGTTGTGAATAGTTATTAAAAACTTCCTGAGATGATGATCACCAAAGGACTTCAGCGCACAAAAGGTGAAAAAACAGGAACATTTTGTTGGCTACAATCACCGGAAGAATTCTGGCACGTAAAGGTGAGAGTTGGATGGTACTGTTAGCATCTTCATTTTTCTCGAGCATTAGACTGGTTTTGCTTAACGAGGGGAAAATTAGAACGAGAGATTACTGGAGGTTTGCTATGCTAACATGTAAAGCTGGGATTCATTGGTTGGTGAGAATTCAAGTCATTTTGGAGGCTTTTGTTGGATAATTTTTTGCACTAGATTCGTCATCTCTGGACCCGAAGGACGGAGGTTGGTTTCCGGAGCATGCTAAACTTCAAGGATGCAAGTAGAAAGAGATGATGAGGCAAGCTTGATACTGGTTATACATGTACACATGGTTATACTTATATTCACAGAATGTAATTACACAAGTTTTTATTGCCCTGGATAATACAGGGGTTTCGTTGCATCTAATGTCAATGAAAGAGAATTTACTTCAACTCTCGTGTTAATTTGAGTCGTGTTCATGTGCTTTTTGGGAAAAATATGCATAAATAGACCCGTTACAGAATACAAAATAGAACCGGAACATTGAACGGACTATAACCTGTATATAAATAATGGTGGAGTTTTTTTTATTTGATTTTCAACTATCAATAAATGGTTTCTTCTACATGGATTTTTTGTTTTCAAAAAAGCGTTTCTAACTAGGGGTGGGCACGGGCCAGGCCGGGCCCAAATTTGTAGGAACCGGACTCGACCCGTTTTAAAATGCAACGGGCCGGGCCAAGCCGGGTATATGAATTTTGAGATTTGGAACCGGACCTAACCTGGCCCGTTTTAAACGGGCCGATTCAGGCTGAGTCCACGGGTCCAATTTACTTTTTATTTTTTTATTTTTTTTAAAGAATAGGTTGTTTGGATTGTGTATAGAAAATCTGTATCATCTACTTTGTAAATATTTGCCCGAGTACAGACTATTGCATTAAAAGATAAATTACAGGCTAACTTAGCGACTACATAAATCATTTGAACATATAGAATAATGAGAAAGGCTTTGCTGTTAGTACAAGGCGTTTGCAGCCTTCCCCTGTTCTCAGAGGGGTGAAATACATATTTCCCTGCCAATAGGTACAAATAAAAGCTTATAAAGAGGAATTTACATTCAAATCCAATTTGCATGAAATGGTCATAGTTAAAACTTAAAAGGGATTTTGAATACCTACTCCTGATCATATTGCATCTCAACGTCAAATTGGGGATTTCGAATCAATTAAATTTCAGAACTTGAATCAAGTGGACTTGCATATTATCAGAGATTGTTGGTCCACAATGAAACTAAATGCAGCTGTGTAACTTAATTGACTGGAATTACAAAATTCTCCACTAAATTTTCTCATCGACCAACAATTATCTAATTACATTACTTGGATTTACAGAAACGTTCCACCAATCAACCAAACATAATCTAAATAAAAATACCAAAATCTGAAACAGAATATTCAAATATATACAAGTTTGAAACTATCACAGGACACACATATATTCAAATTCAATTTAATTCAACAGAAGATTCAAATTCAATTCACCTAAAGATTTGAAATTCGAACAGAACAGAGGTCAAGATTCAAGAACCCAACAAAATCCCTAAATCTAGTGACCATTAATATCTCTCGTTCGAGCACAACAATTTTGGTTATGTTAATCAGAGCATCAGCATGTGGGGCTTTCATTCGGTAATCCTATGAAGGCAAATTTATGAACCTTCCAATTCATATAAGGCAAATTTATAGATTCGGTTTGGGGTTTTCTTGAAATCCCATATGATTACTGAATGCAGAGACTCAGAGATTGCAGAGTCAAAAAGGGCATATATCTAGAAAACCCTAAATCCCTAAATCTAAAAAATTATTATAGAGAATAAGAGATTGCAGAATGCAGAGACTCCAAAGAGTAAAGATTTAAGAAATTATACTACCTTAATTTGGGAGGACATGAGATGAAGGTGGTCGATTTCGATTTGCAGGATGATGGTGGTGTTCTAGATGGCGATGATGGGGTAGTCGCGATTGGGACGAGACGGCGGTGATGTGGTTAGTGATGGTGGTCGTACCTCGCAAGTCGACAGAGAGAAAGAGACAGAGACGGAGAATTGGTGATGGCTGCTGTCGAGGATGAGAGGAAGGTTTCCGTCTGAGATGAGACTCGGTAAGGAAAAAAATCCAATCGAATGGTGGAGAAGTGTGGAGGTGTGAATAATCCCACGCTATAAACGGTTTAGGCTGGGAACCCGTTACTCTTGATATTTGGATCCGCCCCGCCCCGTCAATTCCTCCACCCCGCCCTGCCCTGCCCCGTTTCTTCTTTAAAATATTTAGACCCGCCCCGAACCTGTCCCGAACCGCGAGGACCCGCCCCGACCCGCGGGTCCATGACTCGTTTGCCCACCCCTATTTCTAACTAAGTTTGGTAGAAACACGTAAAATTTGTTTGGAGTACAAAACAATGTTTCCTGAAGAAGCAACTAGGTTGAAATTTTGACAAAAAGTTTTAACATCCCCCTTTTATGAAAAACGCTCATGAGCAAAAAGATTTCCTACGAATTCAAATCTCAAGCGGCTTCTCACATGTGGTTTCCAAAATAAAAATATTCGCACATGTTTGCAAATCAAATCAGTTTGCGCCTTTTTTCTTTTTCCTCTTTCTGTTTCTAAACCTTAAAAATGGCAGCTTCGAAATCTGGCTGGATCGACAATCATTCGGTCACTTTAACCACCATAAAATTCGATCACCCGGTCCCGTTTATCATCAATCTTTCTTTTTTCGAAGAAATGGCTAATAGCATTGCAACTCCACACAGGACACATACGAAAAACTGACCCCACTCGTAGTTCTTCAAGAAGTTCAAATGGTTCAACCCTCTGGAACCTTCTTTGGGAATTCTTGACTTGTTCTTAGTCACTGTCATTTTCATTAGCTGCTTCTTCTACTTAGATTACCCTACAGTTATCAGCGGGTTTTGCTCTCGTGGGGTCAGTGGCGGATTCAGGATTTTAGTATAGGGTGGTCCTAACTTCCCAACCCCCGAATCAGACCATGATACCAAATCCACTATTTTTTTCCTTGTGCAACCATGGCAGCAAGGAGAGAAAGGTGGTGCGAGTCGCGACCTGTGAGTGGGTAGGTGCAGACGTCATTACATGGCAAAGAGAGGGTTGGATTATGAGTGGGCAAGGTTGGGTTCGACGGATGATGTTTTGGTGGAGGGGAGGTGTAACATCCCACATCATCAGGGGGTGTGGATCCTGTAAGCCTTATATGTATATTCCCATCTCTACCTAGCACAAGGTCTTTTGGGAGCTCACTGGTTTCAAGTTCCATCAGAACTTCGAAGTTAAGCGAGTTTGCGCAATAGCAATCCCATGATAGGTGACCCACTGGGAAGTTCTCGTGTGAGTTCCTAGAAACAAAACCGTGAGGGCGTGGTCGGGGCCCAAAGCGGATAATATCGTGCTACGACGGAGTTGAGCCCGGAATGTGGTGAAGGCCCAGGCTGGGATGTGACAATTTGGTATTAGAGCCAATCCATGGCCGTATGTGTGCCGACGAGGACGTCGGACCCCTAAGGGGGGTGGATTGTAACATCCCACATCACCCAAGGGTGTGGATCCTGTAAGCCTTATATGTATATTCTCATCTCTACCTAGCATGAGGCTTTTTGGGAGCTCACTGGCTTCGGGTTCTATCGGAACTCCGAAGTTCAGCAAGTTCGCGTGAAAGCAATCCTATGATGGGTGACCCACTGGGTAGTCTCGTGTGAGTTCCGAGAAACAAAACCGTGAGGGCGTGGTTGGGGCCCAAAACAGACAATATCGTGCTACGGCGGAGTCGAGCCTAGGATGTGGTGGAGGGTAGGGCTGGAATATGACAAGAGGGCTTAGCGGATGAGAGGTTTTTGCAAACGAGATTTGCGATAAACAACAACATATGCTTAGGAAGAGAGAGTGGCTGTTTGGTTATGGGTGCAATGTTAGAGTTGGTTGTTTGGTTATAGATTTAGAGAGAGTTTTGGTTGACATGTGTCTTTTATTTATTGGTGGTCAGTAAAACAATACAGTGACTAGTCAGTGTCTAAATATTGTCCTTTTTTTAATGGTTTGGCTCAAAACGGTCTCGTTTTGGCCAAGTAATTTGAAAGAAAAAGTCATCTTCTTTCTCCTTCTGTGTTTGCAGAAAGTGCTCGGCAGCCATGGCTATTGTAACATCCCACATCGCCCATGGGAGTGGATCATGTAAGCCTAATATGTATATTTCCATCTCTACCTAGCACGAGGCCTTTTGGGAGCTCACTGGTTTCAGGTTCTATCGGAACTTCGAAGTTAAGCGAGTTCGTGCGAGAGCAATCCCAGGATGGGTGACCTATTGGGAAGTTCTCGTGTATGTCCCAGAAACAAAATTGTGAGGGCGTGGTCGAGGCCCAAAGCAGACAATATCGTGCTACGGCGGAGTCGGGCCCGGGAAGTGGTCAAGCCCGAGGCAGGATGTGACAGGTTGGTATTAGAGACAATCCCTGGCCGGAAGTGTGCCGACGATGACGTCGGGCCCCTAAGGGGGGTGGATTGTAACATCCTACATCGCCCAAATGAGTGGATCCTATAAGCCTTATATGTATATTCCCATCTCTACCTAACACGAGGTTTTTTGGGAGTTCACTGGCTTCGGGTTCCATCGGAACTCCGAAGTTAAGCGAGTTCGTGCGAGAGCAATCCTAGGATGGGTGACCCACTGGAAAGTTCTTGTGTGAGTTCCCAGAAACAAAACTGTGAAGGCGTGGTCGGGGCCCAAAGCGGACAATATCATGCTACGGCGGAGTTGGGCCCAGGAAGTGGTGGAGCTCAGGTCGGGATGTGACAGCTGCCCTTCTCCTCCACCACAGCCCAGATTTGGGTGTTCCTTGGAGGTTTTCATAGCCACTTTTCTGAGCCTTTGGGTGGTCCTGAGGTGGTCCCTTAATAGATCCACCCCTGCGTGGGGTTGCCTTGCTGGGGGGATTGCATGGCTCATCATTACCGTTATCATCATCGAGTGGGAAAGTATTGCCAGAATTTCTTCACGAATGAAGCGATGCGTGTGACGTGTTTGATGGGAATTGGGTTTGGGATGAGAACTATCCTTTGTATGAGTCCCAAAATTGCTCTTTTATAGATGGAGGCTTGGCAAACGGAGTAGAAGACTTGGAAAAATACTTTAAGAAAAGACATAGAGTGCTTGAAGTTAATGGAAGACTTGATGCAAAACCGCTGTCAATGCACCGTTACATGTATGTATGAAATAAAATCATGATAGACAAGATAAAACAGCAAGTATGATTGTACTATTTATTTTTAATTATAATAGTATGATTAAATATACAAAATACGAAATAAAACAATTCTAAGTATAGTAATAAACATGAGTAAATAAGAATGTGCATGGTTTTTCGTTATAGTACTAAGTTTGA